ACTGCACTAAACAAATTTTCCAAGCTCCCCCACGCACAGTGGGGGCGCGTGCGCCGGTCTCTGGGGTCCTAAAAATCACGGAAACTTTTTTAAAAATTATTTTAAGTGATTTTAAGGAACTTACTAAGCTCGGTTCAAAATTTTGAACGGTGGAGAGCTCGATTCCAACAAATCCGAAACTTTGATCGCTTCACCTCCCTCACGCGCCGTTGCCGCTGAAAACAAGGAGGACACCGACGAATTCGAAATGACACAAGGAACACGATGGTGCGGGAGGTGTCAAAAACAGAGCAACGATCGAAGATGAATTGAAGATTTTCTCGTCGTTGGTGCTTAAAAAAATGTCAAAACTTTGAATCGAAATTCACGGCGTTTGACAATGTTTCACTTCAATTGATTTAAGGGGGTTTTTCATCGCTCGATGACGAATACGATATTGGTTTCAAATTGACGATCAGAGGCCGGACGGTGTCGGAATCGGATTTGGAAGTTGGACGTTGGAGGAGAAAATTTGAGTTTCATTTATGATTTCGGAAACGAAAGAAACGCATATAATGAGTTTCTGTCGACACTATTTGGGTAAATTCAGGGATTGGTCCCTAAATTTTTTTCACTTCTAAAATAGCCTACAAGTTTTGAAATTTTTTAATTTAATCCCCAATTTGCCAAATTGCTTAATTATAATTTTTTCCCATTTTTCCGGGTTGTTACAGTTTGGGATTATCTTTACGTTTCAAACGGATTTTTAGACTAAAAATACCTCCATAAACATTCTCAAACGGGGCTACGGTACTCTTCAGCAATTATTATAGTCTTCCTTGCCATGCTAATGTTGGAATGCTTAGCCGGATTTTGGGGTTGGCCGAGAATTATCAGAAAGCTTCATATTTGCAACCTATTTTTATGTTCTGGAGAGTAATACCATCAAATGCAACAAACATCGAATCATTCGATTATAGAATGCCGTCCGGTTCAAGAGCCGAATATAAGCTATTCCTCATCCGATATCATCTTCATATTGTGCTCATCTTCAGCTATACAACTCATCTGTACATCGAAAAGTCTTCAACGAGCCCCATTGCAATTGCATGAGAGAACGTCACAACATCTGAAGCCAAGTCTCTGGTGTCTGTATCAGTATTCCCGGTTTAATCAACCATGCCATTCTCCAAGCATTGTACAAAAGTGTGCTTACATTTGTTTTTCCATATGTAAAATTGTGTTTACACTCGGATCCGTCTTGGCAGTAACTGCTGATCTCGTAATGGTTACGACCGACATCCGAAAGCATTATTGTGTAAAAATCGGCATCTCGTTTTGCTGATCTCACTTGGTCGCTTCATTGATCAATTTTAATTGAAATTTAATTGCAAAAAAAAAATGGCGTGACCAAAGTACAGAACAATAATAGTTGAGTGAGTAATGTCGTAGTTTATCCAGTTTTCCATGATGCAGATAGTATTATAGCTCCCGAGTCCCGACGTCTCCCTTGTTCTGTTTTTCCTCCTCTCCCAAGCAAACTCGAATAAGAGAACCATAACTCGTTTCATTCCAACTCAGTAGCTCACTCGATCGACTCACCAATGGACGCGCAAGAAGGAAATCAGCAGTCACAGCAACTCATTCTCGGTCACAACGTCTTCCTCCTCAAGCACCCAGATGTAGCTGACATCGAGAAGGTCCGCCTCAAGGACGAAGTCCTCAACGTGGTCAAATCAAATGGTAACTCACCCGATTGATCTCATCTCCTATTTCCGAGTCAATTATTTAGGTTCAACTCTAACACCGATGTTTCGCGTGTTTTCTTCATGGTTGTGGCGGTTGTAGAAATGACTCCATATTATGAAACCCTAGTTGCTGATAAAGTGGTGGAGCTGGATCAGAGCGTTTTGGGCTCGATGCTTGCCAAAAATGAAGACGAGATTAAGAAGCTCGACGAGAAGTGAGATTTTATTTAGCTTTCTTCAAATTTTATTATTCTGTTTGCTTACTGATTACTTAAGATTGATCGGAAATTTATCATAGTTTTTAGGTTTTCTGGTTTAATTGTTAATCGGAAGTATTTCATTTGGGTTTTTGGCTCACACTGTTAATTAGGAATTTTCCATTTGTCTGATAACGAGAATATATTGTAGTGTTTTAGCCTAAAGAAATTTAGGAGAAAGGTACTAATTCTTAGTGCATTAATGTTTACGAGAATTGAGAGTTAATCATAGTGTTGTGGGGGGATTGGCTGTCATTTAATTTCCTTGCCTTTGATTGAACATTTTTGTTTAAGAACTGTTAGACAGCCAAAAATACATAATCAACTAAATCTAAGCAGTTTTTCAACACTTTGATCCCCTCTTTAAAAAGGAAAGAAACACTTTTCGATGACAGATGAATTGTTGTTGTAGGCTTTTAATCATGTTTAACCGAAGTCTGTCTTTTCGCATTGTAGGATTGCTGATGCTGAAGAAAACTTGGGTGAAAGTGAAGTTCGAGAAGCTCATTTAGCTAAATCCTTGTATTACATTCGGATAGGTGAAAAGGTAATAATTAATTGTAGTTTATTGCTCTTAAAGAAGGTGATGTCTGGTCGTATAATTACACCTGAATGCTATATTTTTCATCTTGACTTATACCTGTCTCAACTCTCGAGTCTAGGAGAAAGCGTTGGAGCAATTGAAGGTGACGGAAACCAAGACGGTTGCCGTTGGGCAAAAGATGGACTTGGTGTTCTATACATTGCAGATTGGTTTTTTCTACATGGATTTTGATCTTATTTCCAAAAGCATTGATAAAGCGAAAAAGTATGTAATCATATTGATTAATAATATCAATTAATTCTAACATTTTGCTGAGCTTGAGATGTATGCCTTTTAACTTGTTGCTCCTATTTTGATGCCAGTTTATTTGAAGAAGGCGGTGACTGGGAGAGGAAGAACCGTTTGAAGGTGTACGAAGGCTTATATTGCATGGCCACTCGGAATTTTAAGAAGGCAACGAATCTATTTTTGGATTCCATTTCAACCTTCACTACTTATGAGCTTTTCCCTTACGAGACATTCATATTTTACACTGTGCTTACAAGCATCATATCCTTGGATAGAGTTTCCCTTAAACAAAAGGTATTTTCTTCCAAGTTTTTCTTCAATATTGTTGTCCTATTACTTGTATTACTTGCTATTTGGGCCAAGGCAAAGTTACTGATGGCTAACTGTTATAGGTCGTTGATGCTCCTGAGATTTTGACTGTCATCGGAAAAATACCGTGCCTTTCCGAATTTTTAAATTCTCTTTATGATTGTCGGTACAAATCATTCTTCTTAGCATTCGGTATGTATTGCTATGGAACAATATCCATGCTAGTCCCACTGCTTTCTTAACATTCGATAAAGCTATAATTCCTTTCACTGATCAATTTGTTTCGAATTGAATTATAACAGCTGGCCTGACAGAGCAGATAAAATTGGACCGTTATTTGCATCCGCATTTTCGATTTTACATGAGGGAGGTCAGAACTGTTGTTTACTCTCAGTTTCTCGAATCCTACAAGAGTGTTACCATTGAAGCCATGGCAAAGGCTTTTGGAGTGTCGGTTGAATTCATTGATCTGTAAGTGATCACGTCCAATGATGGTTTTATACACTTTTTTCTCCATTTCATATAATTTGTGTTCAAATCTATATTAATTTGAATATTCAATTTTCTTTAAATTCTCGTATGCAACCCCAGTCCCATGCTCGAGTATTACATTGCCTGCCCTGGGATTGATTGTTTTAAATCGCTTCATGATTCCAGGGAGCTATCGCGTTTTATTGCAGCAGGAAAGCTTCACTGCAAGATCGACAAGGTTGCCGGTGTTCTTGAAACTAACCGCCCCGATGCGAAGAATGCACTCTACCAGGCAACCATTAAGCAAGGAGACTTCTTGTTGAATCGTATCCAGAAGTTGTCTCGTGTTATCGATCTATGATTCAGTTAAGCATTTCTTATGAATTAGGAATGGACAACCATCATTTTGAAGTTTCAAACAAATCCGGGAACATCCGATTCTTGCCTCTTTCTCTTGGTTCCTTTTAAGGCCAATGAATGCTATGATACTGAAGTTACCAAAGTTTCAAATTAGGCGTGTTTTCTGTTGTGTTCGTATGATCTGCATCTCTGATGATTCAGGCTGTGGACGAGTTTGATTCTAGATTAAAAATCGAGCCGAGTTCACTCAATCAGGTTATTAGTAAAAATATAAGCTTGATTTTGAATTCAATTATTTGAGCTGGACTTCGAGATTTTACAGTATTAATAAGAGAATTTTCAATTAGGCTCACATTTATTTGGCAGTAAAATTCAATTTTTCAGTTAAGCGAATAGGTAAAAATAAAATAATCAAGTAATTTGATAATTTTAGTTTTCTTATTCCTTTTGTTCTTCTTTTATTTTAATTTCATCTTTTTCGAAAATAGATTTTTATTTCTAATTTAACATCTAGTTTTCTAATTTCTTTTTTATTTTAAGTTTTTTTATTGATTTTAAATCGAATGTTCCTCTATTATTATAAAATATCTATGTAATTATAACTTTTATTTTAACATCTCTCAACTTTATATTTTATTTAATATAATATTTTAGTTATAATGTTTATAAATTATTTTTTTACAATCAATATTTTAGTTCTTTTATACTCCTATCAATATTTTTATTTTCAAAATACCTTGAAACAACATTTGAAATCAAGATCTTTAACATTGGATTAAACTAGTCCATAATTAGGGAAGCAAGATCGAATCGATTTGGTGGGTAAAATTACATCATTAGAGAAAATGGAGGATTGTTTACTGAAAAAAAGAGAGGAAAAATCCAAAGACAAGCCCCGAAGCCACTAGGCAGATGAAAGGTAGAAATCCACAAAGCTAAAGCTAGCGGTCGTTGTTTCTTCACCATTTGCATTACATATTCTTCACTTACACTCCGTTACTTTCGATACCCAAATCTTACTCTCCGACACAATATATCTTCATCATTCTTATCTTTATACAAATGGTTTCTCTTTTTCTCTGAAACTCTTTCACACTCTACTACTCTCTCCCTCTGTTCCACCCTTTCTAAATGGTCCAACGTTGAGAAACTAAACACGCTGCTGAATTCTTCTTCTTCTTTTACATTTATACAATTATTAAGGCCAAAAAGTGGGTAAGAAAATGAATGGCATGGCTTCTCGTTTTGACTTCAAAGAGATTCAGGACAAGGTTTCTCTTCATTTGAGGCCATGGCATCGCTCATTTCAATTCTGGGTTCGAGCTGCTGATATTTATACAGGCTACAAGGTCCCTCTTTTACTCTCATCCCTCTCGCTCTACACTTACTCATATGTCCTTTGTTGGGTTTTCTTTATTCCTTAATCTGGCTGAAATTTGGTTGATGGGTAATTATTTGAAAGGCGTTTCAAGTTCGAGTGAGTTTTGTGAAGGATGTTCAAAAACAACATGCAATGTGGGAAAGACAGCATGAGCTTGCTGCTGACAAGATTTATGCTATGTGTTCTGACCTCGGTGGGTTCTTCCTTAAGGTACTTAAATTCAGCCTTCAGTTTCCATTTCCTTTTAATATCAATTGGTGTTTCCCCCCCTTGTCACTTACCTTGAATCAGTGTTACTCAGAGTGGATTTTGGAAACGGGTAATTATGTTCGGATTTTGCTTAAGTTCTTTCATGTAATTAGATATTCCTTGGACAGTCACATCTCCATGCTCATGTCTGAAACTATGTTGGCAAATTGAAGAGTGATGACTTGAGTTTTGTTGTGAAAAATTGTTCAATTCAATGTTTTGTCTTTTTTACTTTTTAGTTTCTTTTCTGTTTGGTTATCTTATTGATTGCTTCTTTTGTTGATTTTGTCTATTCTTAGCTCTTGGAAAACTATAAAGTCTTTTCTTGTGTTCTTTCAGTTCATTCAAGGGATGTTCTGCACCTATTTGATTATGTTCCCTTTTGCGTCTTGAAACCCTGTTTTACTTTCACACTTTTGTTTTCACTTGTTCCCCAATCATAGAGTGATTTAGAGTATCTCCATATTTTATTGAAAATCCGTTAATTGCTTGTTGGATGCTTTGCTCCTAGGTTGCTCAAATTATTGGGAAACCAGACCTAGCCCCAGCTGCGTGGGTGAGAAAGCTTGTTACTCTGTGTGATCAAGCCCCTGCAACACCATTTGATGCTGTTCAACTTGTTTTAGAGAAGGAGTTGGGTCGAAGAATAGGCGAGGTTTTTGAAAAGTTTGACGTAAATCCTCTTGGTTCGGCTTCAATTGCGCAGGTACTACTTTCCATTTCTTTACATAGCTCGAAATTCTGAATGAGTTGGCTGGGAAGGGTATGTTTTCAACTTTGCAGCTTTTTGATGATTAGAACGGATAAAGAACAGATATTTTCATTAATTAAGCTTAACACTTGCCAAAATATGACAGGCTATTACACAATTTAGCTTTAATGACACCGTTTTGATAATTTTGTTTATTATTATTTTTAAGTATTTGACTTAATTCGTACTGGTAGGATATTGCTTATGAGAATCCTATGGAATATACCTAATATGTTTTCATCTCTGAATTAGGTTCATCGAGCAAGACTCAAAGGTGATGTGGAAGATGTTGTTGTGAAGGTAAGTCCTGTTTACGATGATATTATAGCCTGAAGTCGAAGGTAAGTCCGTGAGATTATAACTTTAAAGTTTATGGCAGGTGCAACATCCTGGAGTCCAAGATCTGATGATGACTGACATCCGTAACTTGCAAGCATTTGCATTGTACATGCAAAAGACAGATATCAAATTTGATCTGTATTCTGTTACCAAGGAAATGGAAAAACAGGTGTCAGTATTTACATTAATATTCCTTTCAAAGCACATCTATCCTTGTTTTCCAATTTCTTCTGTTGCTGGGTCTTCTTCACTTTTTTTACTTTCTTTCCAGTGTTAAGTAATTAATAACAATGGCTAGGAGAAAGTTTGATGAATGATGGGTCTGGTTTTCAGTAATAAATAAGGGACCATCATACTAGAGGGGAAAAAATAACAGTTATCACCCTGAAGGGCTTTTAGAGTTGATTCATCTCATTATTCAATTTGTAATTAATCATTTTTAATCACCAGAATGTAATTCTATTCGCATTGCTTAGCTTATTGACTTAAGTCATTTCAAAATTTGGTGTGATGTCAAGTTAGTACATCTGGTCTACTTGTATATTCCAAATAATACTTGATTTAGTGAATATCATTGGTTTTATTCATTCTTGCATGATTGTTTTGTTCAGAATCTACTATCTGATGAAAAATGCAACTTATTCATGGTAAAACTTTTAATGAAATTTATAATCATTTTAGACAGTTGTTCTCGAGCCTTTAAGTTGGTATAATCTATTTGTTGGTTTGACTTGTGCTTTATTTACTTCTTAGATTACGTAAATTAAGAGTACATGATTTGCGTTTCATTGTTCTTTTTGGATGTTGTTATTTATTGATCCTTTGTGCTATTCAAGATTGGGTATGAATTTGACTTTCTAAGAGAAGCCAATGCTATGGATAGAATTCACCGTTTCTTATACGAGAACAACAGAAAATCTCCAGTTCAGGTTCCGAGAGTGCTCAAGGATTTGGTTACAAGGCAAGTTCTTGTTGTTATCTTCTTATAATGACAGATTTGAATGATAGATCAGTAACTCTGCATCTTGCTTGTAGAGGTTTGTCCTAGCTGTGTTTTGAGTATGCATATGCCATTGCATTTGGGTCTACATTGCTTTGTGTTAGGACTTTGCGTTGAGGTTTACATATATAGCATTTGGGTCCGATCCACGTGATGCCTCTTATTTGTAATGATATCACCTCAGCATTTAGCATTTACTGTTAGCAGTTGCTCCTATTTCTTATGCATATGTTTATCATTTCACCATGATTGTACCATATCTTACCGATGGTAAGACAGAGATTCAACCATCATATCTCTTTAACCATATATTCGTCCTCTTTGCTAAAAATGGCTGTCCCTTTTTCCCATATGTATGGGGTAAGGGGGAGGTAAGATAGTAGGCTACCCCCAACACCAGGTTTAACATATTGTCTTTTTCTAGATGGCGGATGCTTTTTATGCTGTTTATCATCATGAACATATTTTACTGCTTTATTACTGATCCTGGCATTTTCGTAATGTGAAATTTATCTGTTTAAATAGGAGGGTCATAGTGATGGAATATATTGATGGAATACCGATCTTGAATCTCGGGGATGAAATGGCTAAAAGAGGGATAAATCCTGGTGGTAAGATGGCAGCAGCAGCAAAGAAGTAAGCATCTAGACTTCCCAAAAGACTGTAGCGTTGTCCTATTCCTTACCTCAAGGGATATTACTTTCCTGCTATTTATTCTTCTTTTCCGTTTAAGGTTGAAATGAAGTAATAAGTTTCCACTTAACCAATATTGTATTTCCTCCAAAATCTTATATCAGACCAATCCCTTTTTCTTTCCTTTATCATCCCTATGGTTATTGCTTAATACTTTTCTTCTCCTTAGTGTTCTGTTATGTTCTCTATTAATACTTTGACTCTTTATCACTTTGGGTTTCCTATGCTATGTTTACTCGAACTTAGGTATGAGTTTTGGACATGGATATTGTGTCCAACATGGGTATTTTCCCTTTTTTCCCAAGATTTTCATATATTGGGATGCTACTTAGAGAATCATAGTGTTGTACCTTTCTCCATATATGTGCCAACACAAACTTGTTTCTCCGTTTCACTTCAGCTTTGGTTTTTTTCTCTCCGGAATTTTTAATAAAGGGATTAAAAGAACGATTGTCATGAATGCAGGAACATACTTAAGAGTTTAACTCTAGCATATGGACAGATGATACTAAAGAGTGGTTTCTTCCACGCAGATCCCCATCCCGGGAATATATTGATATGTAAAGGTTCAGAGGCAAGTAGACTGTCACAGTTTTTCTTTTTTAATTCTATTATAGCCATTTTTGCCATTATGTATTCGTATATATTCTGCCATATAGCTTACTTGTTTAACCTGTTTACCTTTTGTCCACATGCTAGGTTGCCTTACTGGACTACGGGCAAGTGAAGGATCTGCCGAACCAGTTGCGGCTTGGATATGCTAATTTGGTTCTTGCCGTCGCTGATAATGATCCTGTAAAAGCAAAGGAAAGCTATAGGTAAACTTGTGAGTTTCTATTTGTGCTTCTAGTAACCTTTCAATTCAAAATTCAGTTGGTTGGCATGTCGCTTCGACTTTTTATTTTTCTTGAAGTAACCATATTCAGCACATGAAAAAATTTAGAAAAAACTGAACATATCCATTTTAGACACATCCCTAGACTAACATCTGAATTCATGTAACATAGGTACTCTTGTTTTGAATAGAATAAGAATAATAGGCAATTTTTAGAAGCTATGTTGCTCGGACTTTTTGTTGTTCTGGAATTACTAGTGTTTGGCACTGGTTTCTGACACATGGATATGGGGATGTGACCTTCAAGGATCCCCAAATACATGGTAAAATTTCAAGTCCGAATAACATAGTTTAGAAGTACTTCCGACATTTGTGTCTAATGCATATCCAGATATGAGTGGCAATATGATCATCCATGAAAAACTTAGAACCTAATCATGAAGGACACTTCACTCAAGTCCTAGTAACATGGTTAATACTTAATAATTGCATTGGTTTGAAATAACTATTCTAACAATTCGCAATTACCAAGCGGGATCTATAATGACATCTTGTCTTTTCTTAGGGAACTCGGCATAGGTACTGTAAGCAATTGTGAGGACGAGCAACAGGAACTGTTTCGCCTGGCTCAAACAATGTTTGATACAAAACTACCTCCAGGAGTGAAAATGCTCCAACCATTCTCCGAAGATTCTTCAATAAAAAAAATCGGTGTACAGGTAAGGGGTTACAGAGAACAGTTTAATCACACCAATTTCCCAACTGTCCCCAAAAGCACGATTTTCAGTTTGATCTTATTGTCGAAACTCCGAATAAACCTACATTCAAGTTGTTTTTCTGGGCTATGGCAGTCTTTCCCCGAGGAACTTTTTTCAGTTCTTCGTACCATACATCTTCTGAGAGGACTCAGTGTTGGTCTTGGAATAAACTACTCGTGTGCAGAACAGTGGAGGCCTATTGCAGAAGAGGCATTGTATAATGCTGGAAAGTTGGAAGGTATCTTTTCGAACCCTAAGCTAAAGATTAATGCAGCATTTTGCACAAAGGAACGCCTCTCGGGGTCTAAATCTTTTCATTAAACCCGTCATTTGCAGTATTGAACTGTGTTCCAATATAATGTTAGTTTTATCTGTTCGTGCTTTAGGGGTGCGAAAGCCTGGTTATTGGAGAAGATTTTTTCGGAGAAATTGATTGGCACTTGAAAGAAAGGTAGGCTTAAATCAGTCTATTGTACATCAAGCTTGTTTGTGAAGTGATCATCTGTAAGAAATCCGGCTTCTTTCAGAGTCAAAGAAGGTAGGCCTAAACCCGTCTGGTTTGCTGTGTATTATGTATATGCATAGAGAGATTCCAAGCTAGTTTATGGACTGTTTCTTCTTCGAAATTCCATTCACTTGTAGAACATGCATTCATTCTTGTTTATGGTCACAGAATATACATTCATTTGTGATTTTTATGCAGCTTTTGTACTCCCTGGCTGTGAGTTTTAGGCTGCTGGTATGGATATGTTGTACGCTTCCTTCTTCGTATATTTAGATTATAAAATATTCTCAATGCATGAGGGTACCAAGATTTAGATTAATAAGATATTTTTAATACGATTATAATGTCATGAAGTTCATAAACATAATACAAATTATTAACGAATTGATATGTCTATGACATCATGTGAGTCTAACATTAATGATTAAAATATTATTTTTTAAAATTTGATGATCCAAATAAGAATAAATTATCTAAAATAAAATTAGGTGAATTATGCAATTAGTACCTAAACTATTAATTTTGATCTGTTTTAGTGTCTAAATTTTTAAGTTTTTTCAAAACTGTATATAACGTTTAGTTTTTGTTTCATGTTAGTATCCGTCATTAAAAGCTTAACGCGTTTAGTATCTAAATTGTCAATTTTGGTCTAGTTTAGTACTTAACTTTTGAATTTTTTTTATAAAGTTAAATGTTAAATTTTGAACGAGTATTAAAATGAAACAAAAATTAAAATTTAGGTATATTTTGAAAAAAAGAGTGAAAGTTTAGATATTAAAATAGATTAAAAATAATAATTTAGGTACTAAACATGTAATTTACCCAGTAAAATATAAGAAAAGAAAAGGCTAACTTAACGGGAGTGGGTGGGTCAGCCATGGAGAAAAGCTTGAACCGGAAGCCCAAAAGAAGTGGAAAGAGTACGAGATACGCTTCCCGCTTTTTCAATTTATGGCGCCAGACAATCCAAAGCTCCCTTTCTTCGTCCGTTTCCGCCATCCTCAAATACCTTAAGATCCTTGTTTCGAAACAAAGCTATTTTTGGGCGAAAATAGTATCTCTAACACAGAGATGTTTGGAAGAGTAAGAGCATCGCCGTCACTTGACAGCTCCGCGAGTCCCCCTTCCAAGATCATCAAACACGATTCTCTTTCCATCTACGGTATTTCTCAATTTTCTTCTTCAAAATTTCACGAATCCATTCAGATCAAACATTAACTTTGCTTTCCTTTTATTTTTCATTTGTAACCTACAGAGACTACACTCATGAAGCTTAAACTGGGTTGTCAGTTCCACCCAATTTCGCCGGTGGATTTAACCGATTGCCATTCCGGAACTATTCCCGTGGCTTGTGAAGAAATGCATTCCGGTGATGAATCTATGGTAATCGATACAGATTGTTCAAGCGATTGCCAATCCACAGGCGATTCTAAATTGATTTCTCTGCAGCGGAGCAATTGTACGTCAAATATTCACTTGTTTTCCAGATTTAACTCCCGTCAACGCACTCCAACAATCAGTGATGAAACTCTAATGATGGACATCAATGCTTCAGCGAGTTCGTTTCAATCTTTGAGCAGAGCAAAAGAAGGGAACCATGAATCTACCACACACAATGGGAGTACTATCACATGATTCAATGGGTTCTTGCATTGGTATTTAAGCATGCAAATTTGTTACTCCAAATGCTTCCAATTAGATTTACTATTTTCTTACTCATGCCATTACATATATAATTTTAAAATTTAATATTGATAAAAATATTTTCTTATAAAATTTTATATTAACTAGGATGACAAATGGGTGAGTCAGGGTGGATACCCCCTCCCATATCCCTATACTCACACAATATTTTCAAATTTACCACTCGTCCACCACCTATAATGGACAAAATTTTTTAAATCTACATATGCCTACACAAATACATTCTCAAATTTATCCTCACACCCACGTTTATTAAAGAAAACATAATAATATTTGGTTAAATTATAACTTATATCTTATACAATATTAAGATTTATAAATTAGTTTTTAAAATTATACTTAAATTCATAATTATCTAAAATTTAATAGGTATTTAGTGGGTGGGCAGATACCGGGCGTGCGGGGTGGGTAAGATCTCAAACTCATCACCCGTCCACTACCAGCGACGGGTATCACTTTTTAAATCCACACCCGTCCACTATTTATTAAAATTATACCTATTTTTGTCTCAATTGAAACGGATACGGTGCGAAATCTACGAAATTGTACCCGTTTGCCATTCCTAACATTAACTATATACTAAATACCAAATTATATTAAATTTACATTCAATTTGTGTCGAAACATAAAAAGCACAGAATTATCAAACTAATTGACCCAATCGGTTGAATTGAAAATGGAAAATTCATTTGAAACAACCTTTGCTTCAATCTTTTAACAACGAAATTCACATCTTTTGAGTCCGACATGAAATTGTTTTGTTATTCGTACACAAATTGCAGCTCTAGTATTGCAATTACATCTTAAATGGATACTTTGGCATTGAAAATATGATATCAGACGGTAACTTACTGAGTGCTTTGCCTCCGTCAACAGTATGCTTAAAGATCACTCCATTAACCATGGTGCTTGAGCAGGTGTCCACTCACATAACTCGCCTTCTTTGAACCAAAGAGCTATACATGGAAACAGATAAAAAGTAACGTCTAAATAAACGGATACAAAATTGAACTACTTGGACCTTCCATTCTTGATACAAATGGTTGGTTTAATACTGTTATAGTGTTAAGAGGAACCCACCGGTTTCACGCTTGCCATTCTCAGGGCTGTCACTACCATGGATGACATTCCTGCACACATGTTAGTTATCAGAATATTTACAGCAAATTGAAGTCGAGGAATTAGTTAGAGAAACAGAAAACAGGGCAGATAGAGGCTAACCTTCCTGTTTGAACTGCAAGATCTCCTCTTATGGTGCCAGGCTCAGCCTGGAGAGGATTGGTAGATCCAATCAACTTGCGTGCGGAAGCGACAACACCGACACCCTCCCATACCTTGAAAACATCAAATAGTTATCAGATTTCTCAATCAAACTGGGAACTTACGATATGGGAAGAAATTCGATGAAATCATACCATACACACAACTGGTCCTGAAGTAATGTAGTCAATCAGTGTAGGGTAGAATGACTTGGCCTTGAGATCCTTGTAATGTTCCTATGACCATCATAACACCAATAATGTATATTATTAATAAGCTCCAAAGCATAGAACAAAGCACTTCTAGTGGCTAAATCATTGTCGAGCCAAGCTCAATTAATCGATAGATGACGACATTAGATTTCTTAGTGTAAACCAAAACAGCAAACATGAAATATCAACCCAACAGCAAACATGAAATATCAACCCAACAGCAAACTTACAAACCTCAGCCAATTCTTTGGGGCATTGAAAGAGCTTCAAGCCGGTCAATTTAAACCCTTTCCTTTCAAACCTCGAAATAACTTCTCCAACCTAAATAAGAAAAATAAAACTCAGCACCAAAATTACCAAAATTCCAATATAAACAATTCCCTTTTTTGGGTACTAAAATTAAATTCGACAAGAATCACAAGATTAGACACGACACGATCACCTAGCACACATTTTTATTAACTAAATCATGATACAAAATATAATCGTACAAGCAAAACAGCACGATTATAAGGATGGCTCAAAATTTATATAATACAAATTAGCATATCAAAACTTAATTGAAATATGGTAAACTACCCAGGGACAACACCAATGCATAATTTATCAAGTCTACTGCAAATACTTCCACATGAACTAATATATATAGCAAATAAGTGTAACATGGTACAATACACACAACAGGAAGACACGTTTACTGAAAATGCCTGCACATACAGTCATAAACCAGTATAAAACAAACGGTTTAAGACTAAAAATGGGTAACTTAAGCAACTCAAAAACCAGAAATACTTATGGAGTACAAGATTTAAACAAAAATAAAATTGGAAGCAAATCTTACAAGGCCACGTTGCACGCCATCAGGTTTAACCATGATGTAACTTTGTTCAACTTGTTCCTGAAGCCAAAACCAAAGAATTAAACAAAAAAACAACAATATAAACTTCAAAATTTCAAAAAATTAAAAGAAATAGGCAGTCCAGTTAAAGCAAGATAAATTAGAATCGAACCAATGAAGCGACCAAGTGAGGAAGGAAGATTCTATGAGTGGATTTACTAGCACGGAATTTGGTGTAAGCGAAAGGGGATTTTGTGAAAATATTGATTTGGTTGTGGAATGCTGCTAAGTGGCTCGCCCTAAGGTTGTTGCGAGAGGCGTAGGATAAGCAGGTGGCGCTGCTTTGCTTCGCCGCCGCTGATGTGGTAAGGGAAGGGGATAATGTTACTGCTTCCATCTTTTTCTTTCCTTTCCCTCGGTTTCCCCACACGAGCCTAAATTATAGTACCTTTTACAAAGCCCAAGTTACCGAATTTGGATATTTAATTATTGTTAAAAAATACCAATAAAGTCCTTAATTTTAATATACTGCCCTTTAAAATAAACAGAACAATATAACTTTAAAATTAAATAACTGAAAATAATAGATGCTGTCGTTTATTTTCTTTTTACCTATTTATTCTTATTATTTTTTAAATCAAAATCAAATAAAAGAAGGGTAAACTATGGGTGGTTTTTTTTATGTTTTTGGTTTATTTGATTTTAGTTAGAGGTGAATAAAACTAGACTCGAAAAAGCAATTTTTTACTTAACTCGATTTGAAAAAACTCGACTCGAGTTGAGTTCAGATTGTAATTTTATAAACTCGACTCGACTCGAAAAAATTTCAAATTCAAATCGAGTTGTAAAATACAACTCGAATAACTCAAAATATTTAGTAATTAGGAGATTAGTTATCAAGTTTAAGTCGAAGTTTGAATTGAGTCCCTCGACTTTATATAATATATGTAAATCACATAAATATGAAAAAATAAAAAAAATGTATATATATATATATATATGTTATATATGATTATAAAATATCATTTAAATTAGAATTAAATAATTTTATAATTTTATAAATATTTATAATTAAATTTAATTAGAAACTAAAAATTTCAACTTAACTCGACTCGAAAAAATTTCAAATCAAATCCGAGTTATAAAGTCAACTCGAATAACTTAAAATTTTTTGACTGAACTCGATCGAACGCTCACCCCTAATTTTGGTCATCTGTTTAAAGAGAAAAAGTGATTTTAGTCTCTTATGTTATGAATCTATTTAATTTTAGTCCCTCAGTCTTTTACTCATTAATGAAATTCTAAATTAGAAATTGAAAAATAAAACAAAAACAACCTAAGTGACCTAGGTATAGCACACGTGGGTGAGAGTTGTCTACGAACACCATCTCCAAACTTTTCCATTATTGTGGACCAAGTATTTGTTTGTATAAGGACAATGGTTTGTTTCCCTTTTGTTGCTTTTGTTTTACATGCATGGACAAAGCCATATATATATATATATATATATATATATTTCTGAAAAAAGACTGCTTTATATTACTAGCCATGAATGACATCAGTTATAAGAACATTTGAAAGACAAGGAGGATAATCATAAACATAATAACTAGGACTGCAAAGAGTTAAAGCAAACTGTGGTAAGGAGTGGGCAGCATTATTAGCGGATCGCCGAATCGGATGAAGAGTAACATGTCGATGAATCGGTAACAATTGCCTAGCTTCAGCAAGATGGAGTGCAGTAACAGATGGATCACCTTGGGAGGAGAGTAGCTGTTGAACCACCGTCGATGCATCACTTTCAATTCGGGTGGCTGAATGTGAAAATTCTAATGCAAGATGGATACCTTGTGTGATAGCCTGGCATTCCACTGTAGCCGCATCGCAAGGGCAGTTAAGAGGAATAGCATGAGCAGCAAGCACCATCCCATGATGATCTCGGGCAATAAGACCAACAGCTGGAGTTCCAAAGTTAATCGGGAAAAAACGGTCTACATTAATAGTGATCTCTTGTACACGTGGCTTATGCCACCGCTCAGAATGAGTTAACTGCGGCATGAACGACGCATCTGTAATCCCCTTTGATGCCAAAAAAGCAGAACACAATGACCGACTGGACATGACCACTCTCCAAGCTGAAATCATTCGCCCTTCGTGGAGGAAAGTGTTTCGACGATACCAGACTGACCATAGCAGAACCAACAAAAGTGAGAAGCGATGGAGAGGCATCTGCTGATAACAAGAGAATAACAAGTTTCCATTGGACGGTGCATGAAACTGAACTGATGAGAACCCACCCCATGGCAAGGATACCAGCCACAGTATCACAGTGACACAAAGCATGTAGGGCAGATTCAAGCTCGTCGTGACAAAAGCAGCACCCACCTTCATCTAGTCCCGCCTGAGCTAGGCGAGAGCCCGTGGGAGGCGCATCTCGAACCACACGCCATCCAAAAAATTTGACTTTTGGAGGAACTGGTAATCTGGCCAAGATGAGCCATATTTGAATAAGCAGTTGTTATGTATTAATGTAGAATAGCATATAAGTGTCTTTAGATGAAGTTGAAGCTAAAACCAAATAGAGTAAAAGAAACAATCAGATTGAAGATTTAACTAAGCCTGCAAACGAGAGGGGTTCAAAATCGAGTAGCTAAGACTTTTGGTTGAAAGAAGCTCATTATTCTTCTAGCATGATCAACTTGCATGCATGAGAGTTCCATGTCCACGAGGAGACAGAGACAGATGATGACAATCGATTTAAAAAATAAGTACAACTGAGCATAACTTGAGACCAAAATCGCATATGCAGTGGTGAAGCTTGTGCTGGAAGAGTAAGAGCAGTTTTCAAAATATGCACGTGTTGACGCTCAACTACACCATTTTATCGAGGATGTTGAATATCGAGAAGAGCAAGCGTACTATCTAAAGCATGAAATTCAACCCAACATCTCTTTGTACAGCTTGAAACAGTAACTTCAAATTTAAACATCCATCTTAACTACCTGAAGCAAAAAATCATATATCGTGAGTCAATGGAGTTGTTCGTCAAGGAGATCTCTGCCATGAAATCATTTAAAGGACACCCAAATGGGGTCACACTTTACGTGCATACAATCTTGGATATGGGAAGAAGCCCTTCTTGTCATGGATTATTGCTAGAAATCTCTCGTTAGTGTCTTATAGGCCAAAGGACCCGCCTATTTTGAGGAGAAACTATTTTCTTACCGTTTTCTTGGATATATGCAATGTTGTCTTAGCAATGCTTTGCCAGTCTCCATTGGTTGCTCACAGGTAATTTGGTCCCACAGCTCTTTTAAGTTTTAATTGAGGATGACCCATCCTATAAAAAGTACAAACCCTTAGGCGGTGTTTGGATCAGGTTATGAGAGGTTATCGGAGGAATGAAATATAATTTTCTCGTTTGGATGATAAAGATTTCTAACCCCGGTAATAAGTTGTTTCCAACAGTGGTATTTTGGGGGTTTATTACTGGGAATATGATTCTTCTTTCCCTTAGGTATTGTTACATTTCCGGTGTTTTAGACTAAAATGCCCTTAAAAAAATTTCTTTAAAAAATATACTTATTCTGTCGTTAAATAAAAAAAATTCTCCGAAGGTTAAATTGCAAATTTATCCTTAAACTATTTTAGATTTACAAAAAAAATCCATAATTAGAATTTTATATGAAGTTCATGGATTAAAAATAAAATTTTACCCTTTCATTACCTATTTATCTTTTTAATTTTGTAAAAAAAATTATATAAATTTTATGAATTTAAATTTTTTAAAGAAAATATATAAATTAATAATAGTAAAATTATAGTATAATTCAACTTGTTAAAAATATATATATATATAATAAGGACAATTTGGTAAAATATATATTCCAATAATCTTTTATTCCTTTAACCAAACATTGTAATCTTACATTTATGCTAAATGAACCAAACACAACAATGCAACATTCCTAGTAATGTGTTAGGTAATGTTACATTCCGATAATCCTATTCTCTCTTGTAATCTTACATTTCGTGAATCAAACGAACCCTTAATTAGAGGTGTTCATTCGGTTAAAACGGTGGCCGACCGAACCGAAATACCCTTAACCGAATTAACCAAACTTTTTTTTCTTTAACCGTTAACCGAACCGAACTTTTTTTTGAAAGTATTAACCGAACCGAATAAATTTCGATTAATTTTCGAATTAACAGAAATTCTTTAGAATTTTAGAATTTAATATTTTTAATTAAAAAAACAATTTACAATTAATTTAAATAATATCTAATTATAAATAATATCTAATTAATTTGATTCAAACAATTTGCATTTAATTTTGAGATTATTTTAATTAATTAATATTGATTTGGGTTTTAAATGGGTTTTAAATGGATTGGGTCGGCTCAGGATCTTAATGTAATTATATTTAAATGTTAATTCGGTTAATTAACAAATTTCGAACCGAATTAACCGTTAACCGAATTTCAAAAAAAACTCTTAACCGTTCCCCGACAGAACTAATTCGGTGGCCGACCGAATTAACCAAATTAATTCGATTCGATCGATTAATTCGGTTAAAACCGAATTTTGAACACTCCTACCCTTAATATAATCTTAACAAATTAAAGCTTTTATCATATCTTTTGAGTCATTTTTTCACGAATTCATTTAATTGAAGCAAAATTTTTTTAACTAGCTTAAAAATAAACTAAATCTTAAAATATTTTAAACAAAATGACTATTGAATTATGCTCGATAAAAACAACAATCAATTGGGTTAGTGGAATGATGAATTAAATCTCCTAAGAAATGTCAAAAGTTTAAATTTTAAAGTCGTAAATGAAGTAAATTGAATTGAGAGAATTATTCTCAAAATAGATTTATACAACAGGTTTTCGAACTAACCGATCAACGGAAAACATTAGATTAAACGTTGTTTAATGAAAAAGTTTAAATTAAATTTTAATTTAAAAGAAAAAACTTAGATTATAATAAATGATTTCTACTAAAACGTCCATTAATGAACAGAAAGAAATGGACAAAATACCTTGAAAACTAAAAATTCCTCCCATTCCCTTGTCCTTGGACCTCGTTGTTGACATAGAAAAATCATTGTTTACATCGAAAATTCAAACTCAACTATTTTTATTTATTGAACTTAAGTAATCAAACTTTGTGATTTGCCGGCTTTTTTTATAACCAATAATCCATTCGCAATCGCTAGGGTTCGAACATCCAACCTTTTCTTAAAGGATCTAGTGTCTCATCCCACTAGACCAGTTAATTTTTTGTTTTTATAATAGACACGAATAAAAATGGCATTGCACATAACTAATAAAATCATCGAATAATAATGAAAAGTGATATTTTACAGATAAAATTTAGCAGCGTTTGATCTACAAACGCTGCTACAAACCCATTTTGTTGTAGTGAGACCCAAAATTTGAATAAACTAAAGCCAGTTTAATCACTGAAAAGAAAGGGTTGAATGTTGATTTAGATACAGGTGAGTCCAATCTGATTGCACATACGAAGATCACACAATTTCTTTTATTTTAATTTTTGTTCACACATCATCAGAACTTGTTCAATGGCGGAAAGCTGTGTTATTGATGTTGATCACAAGTTTCTTAAAACATAAAATCACAAAGTGGTTTACAAGAACCATTCCAATCCCGCTAACGGAAACATTGTCTTATTGAAATTTAAACAAACAAGTTGCATGTTGTCGTTTCTCAGCATTTCCAGCAAGAGACCGCGATAATGGGCTTAGAGTTCCAGCCAAGAACCAAACACCCTTTATCTTCAACAACGGTGTAACCATGGATAATCTTATTGTTCCCGAGCCATTGTTTGGCTTGACTCAACAACCTCAACGGTGCAGCCTGGAACCCTGCTCGGCTCATCCGTCGCCGCCATTGGTCCACCCTCTCGTGCCGTTCGACCCTATCGGGTCCCTCGCAGCTCACGATGTTCTTAATCTCTTCAGCGAAGTAAAACTGCTCCATCTTGGCTCGCTTGGTGTCGTATTTGGGTAGCATGGCGTCCAGCGAATCGAAGATTGCTGAATAATAGTGGAGTGCTTCCATGAATCTACCCAGAAAAAAGGGCCCATTGTGGCTTGAATCTTGCTCCACCAGCACCAAAAGTTTCGGGGACAGCTCGTGGATCATTTGAAGAACTGAGTTTAAAGCTCCCCTGCTTTCTTTAACAACGCAATGAAGTTGAAGAACGCTGTTCACGACAAGAACCTCGTTATCGTATACTCTGATGTCTTCGGGTTTTAGGTTCTCTAAGTTGCTTTCGACTATGACGAATTCCAAGTTGATTCCCATGGATTTTGCATATGCTTTAAGTTCTATTCCGATGGTATCGAACCGGTCAACGCAGAGGCCGACTGCGGTTATTCGGAGGCGTGTGCACCGTTTTTTGCCGTTGCCGCCACCGAGGGTGGTAACGGCGAGGCTTTGGATAAGGTGACGCCATTGATGACCTTCGGGTAAACCAAGGGTCATCCCTAAGTCCACAACGTGGACAAAACTCTCTCCCTCAAAGGCTTCCAATATAGCTAGATTAGCTACGAAGTGACCAAATTTAATATGCGGGCAATTCTCATAAACGAGGCGGAACGCTTCTTGTTTCTTGTCCGAATCCGACACGTTGATGTCCATTATGTTCATGACCGGCGGCAGCTGGACACGGCCTACCGCCGTCCCTAAGGGTTGAACTGAATTGAGACGGTCCGCCAATCCTTGCACGAAACATGAAGCCACCCGCTGAAACGACGTGCCAAAGACTAACGCATTAGCATAAAGCTCCGATAACAACGCCGATGCATGCGCCTTGTCGCGACAAGCCACCGCCTCGGCGCAAGCGATGAGAAGCTGAACCAGTCTCATACCGTAAGCCGTTTTGTCTTCCTCGACTCCGTTTTCTTCATAACCAGTAGCCATTCTCACTGCTTCCGCCGCCGCCTCTTCTACTGCCTCGGCAGCAAGGTATCTTTTGCTATAAGTCAATATATGATCTCTGAAGCCAAGTTTCGATAAGCAACCCAAACTACCATTGCTGCCGCTCCGACTCATCCCTCCGCTACCGTCACTGTTTCCACCATTAGAAACACTTCCGGAGCTTCCGATCGATTCGGGTATACTGATATTTCGTTTCAGCCTCTTATTATCTCTGAAGGTATCTTCTAAATAACGGCGGGTATAATCAACGCCAATATTGTTGTTCGTCAGTAGAGGCAGGAAAGGGTTTGAACAAAAAGCTATGGTCGAACGTTTGAGATCCATTCCAGTCACCTGTTCAACCCTACCTGAGCTTTGAAGCTCGTTTGACAAAACACCTGGGGCCATTTCTTTTTCTTTTTCTTTCTAGAATATATCATCAACAAAGCCCTGAAAGAGCCTAAAGCGGACCTAGGGTTGTTTATATAAGGAACTGAAAACTTGAAAACCATGAGTTTTTTTCTTGTAAAATCGTCATCATCAAGAAATTTTGGAGGAAATTGATTGGCGTTGCGCCCTTGACCTCAGACAGGCAAAACAGGACAAGAAGTATACCTAGGGCAACCACTACCTTATCAATACAAAACCCTTGTACCATTCCCATTCCGCACTAGGTGGTAACTAGCATGTTTTCTTTTTCCTTTACATGGTAAAAGGTCATTTTCTGCAGTCCCACATACTCTGTTTGACTTTTACAGTTTTCAATTTAAAGAAAATACACGAGAATGATTTATAAATTCAGAACAAAGAACCCCTCCAACTGCAGCTGAACCATCAGCGTTGTGTTGTGTTTGATCCAATCCACCAATAACCTGATCTCCATTTACCATTATTGTGAACAAGTTGCACCTGCAGCCATGATTATCGTCACAAGCTTTGAATCTCTGCAACCAATCGGTTTCTACTCTCAATAATTCTTTACATTTCTATAGAGTTTCATTTACGACTATTATTATGCTCAAGTACCAGAGGCGACATGGACATGGACATATTGCAATTAGCAATCAGAAAGGTGTGTCACATGAGAGGCTTCGCCGGCTGAAAATGAGAACATAAAGATGAAAAGGACAAATATAATTATTATTACTGTAATACAATTTAGTCTTAACTTTTCCCATTGCATCGCTGCTCTTTACCTTGTTCGATACAACCGGGGCACCCTATTTTAGTTCCTATCTCCAAACATCGTCTATGAATCAAGTTGCCCTATTATTCCCACTCTTCGTTTTCTTCTAATTATTTGCATTTAATATTTTTATGCGTAGAGTACGTGACAGCTCTCTAAATACATGTATTTAAAAAAACAAGTAATATTCGACACATATTCAAATATAATAATAAATATAAAAATATATAAAACAATAAATTTATTTATATTTAACACATTTTTTTTATGTTACCCTTGCCTGAATTAGATCAATGAAGTCATTAGTTCATCTCATAATTGACAATTAGGCCTGTAAACGAACCGAACGCACACGAACGGATGTATGTTCATGTTCGTTCATTTAATAAATAAACGAACATAAACGAACACGAACATAAACGAACACGAACATAAATGAACACGAACATAAACGTTGGAGACCCTACCTTCCATTGTTCTTTCATGAAAAATAGTCGACAATGCAAATCAACCAAATCTACAGTGATAAATAGCGTAAGAGCTTATTAGCAGTGATGAAATGTTTGAAGATATCAGATATTTCGATCGATCTTTTAAATATATTAAATGATTCACACGACTTTAATTTAACACTATAACATTTATCTTAGTGGTCCATGATTAAATATGAACAATCATTTTCCACTACGTTATTCTAATAAATTCACCGGCTAAAAGTTTTGTGACATCAATGTCAGACTTTAGTGAGATTTGTTAATAATGGTCATTTCCATTGGCAGAGTAGAAAATTTAACAACATGAAGATTTCGAACGGTACAAATTGGACTACAAGGCAATAACATAGATCCGGAATCCATTCAATGCTACATATCTAAATGATATTATTGCTAAACCACCATTCAAAATTTTAACGTACCTAAAGTCTACTCCACAACTAAAGGTCACACAAGAACTATGAAAACAAAAGTTCATTGTCAAAGTGTATTTTCTACGTATTAATGAGTTTTGAGTTCTTCTTGGAAAACCCATTACTTCCACTATTACACTCTTTTTTTTAGAAATTGCATAGAAACATTTGTTTTGTTTTCTGGCAAATTCTTTATATTTTTCTCTTTACTGATGTTCATATACTTCCGATTGTTACCTTTATCTTCCCATCTATTTCTAGAAAGAAGTATGATGTTTTCTTGAGTTTTAGATGTGAAGATACCCACAATAACTTTACATATCAACTATTAAGCCAAATAAAACAGAGAAAGAGATGAAAACAGGCCTGTAAAACTTCATATTGCACTATAATATAACGTGTTTTGAAGCTTTCACCGATCATCTCCACTCTTCAGTGAACACTAGGGTTTGGGAAAAAAGGGGAAAATGAATATAGGTGCGAGGTGCCTCACGTGTTAACATATTGTATTTAATCTCCAAATAAAATTGGGTTAATTATGGAGTTTGTCATCAGAATATCAGATTAATTAATATTTTTAAGATACTTACAAATTGGTCACCAAAATTGATTTAAGAAGATTGTGTTAAACATAAATGAACGAACATAAACGAACTTTCCGCCGCACGGTTCATGAACGGTTCGCTGATCGTTCAGTTCATTTACAGGCCTATTGACAATAAGCTATTGAGTTTTATTTCACTTCTAATTAAATACTCTTTCGCTTAAATAATAATTAATATTTTATAATGATGTTATCGTTCTTCTAATATTTTATATGATTTTAAATAAAATAATTTAAAATTATACATATAAGGATCAAGCTCATATTTAATAATATTTACGTATAGATTATTTTCATTGTGTGGTCGTTTTCAAATAAGTTTTTAAAAGAAATATTTTTATATAAAATTAATATTTTCTTTAACTCGTTTAATTGATATAAATGATTAATAAATATAATAGTAAATAATTATAAATGTAGATAAATGAATATCATGTGAAAATGTGGATGGTGTCCCATGCCTTTGATAAATGGATATCAACTTATTTGAATGAGGCATGTGATAAAAATAATGCATGGAAGAGTAGGTGAGATAAGCCCAAATCTTGAAGCCCTCTGGTCCCGTAAACATAAAGCATTGTTTTACGGGTAGACCTATAAACTCAGCCCCCGTTAACTCTTGAACAGTAGATTTTTCAATTTGAAATAATTCAAATTAAGATAATAAATAATCAATATAAATTTAAAAATTTATAAATATGAGTCGAATTAAAATCGAAAATCGGCATAAATTTAATTAAAAATGGACTTATGAAATACTTTATTAAATAATTTATTTATTCAAATTAAATATATTTTAAAATGTAAAAAATAAAGGTAATAGCCTTTTTAATCTCCAGATTTCAAATCTGGTCAAGATTTCGACCACTCCGCCAATCTTCTTCATTATTTTCAAAATCTTTCTTCGTTGTCTTCCTCGTTGAGCTGTATTTTCCTTACGTTTTAGATTCGGTGGATTCAAAGATTAAATGCCCTCAAATCGTAAGATTTCCTCTCTAAGTCCCTAATAAAACCCCCCTCCCCCCGACCAGTCACTCCGCTCTCTCTCTGGTTTTGTTCTCAATGGCAACTTCATCTTTCAAGTCAACAACTAAGAGAGCCTCCGTCGCCAACACTCCCGGTGACTCTTCTTCCTCCGACCGCTCATCCTCCTCCTCCGTCCACCGCCGCGCCAGGAGTCTCAGCAGATTCTCCCGCCGGCTTCCCGGTGTCGGTGACGATGACGATGAGCCTACTCCGGCTCCGAGGAACAAGTTTAAGTTCGTTACTACCGTAAGGGGGACGGACTTCCCGGAGATTAGTCTCGATGATCTTGCTATCGAGCTCTTTGACTCCTCACTCCGAGGACGTTCGAATTCCCGGATTAATGACGTCACACCACACAATGGTAAAGGAGGAGGAGAGAATGTGACTCAGAGGAGAGGACGGTCGGTGTCTAGGCAAGTATCCAGAGGTAGTGCTGTAAATAGTGGTGCTGGAGGAAGGCTAACTTCGGACACCGCTAGCTCCAGGAGGAGAAGATCGGTTTCGGTTGTTCGGTATCAGATTAGCGATTCTGAGGTAATATTGCAGTCATCATCATTTTCTACATTACTTTTGTTTTTATTCCTATGCATGAGCTCATTGTTTAGACGAATTCTGTAGTCATATCAGATTGATTGGTTGTGTAAATGCTTAGTGGCCTAGTTTAGGCGTATAAATTTGGTTAAACTAACTGGACTTAACTATCTGCTTGCTTGTTTGTGCTTGACGTCTGCTTAATTTGGACTCAAAGATCAAATTTAGGTGGACCAGCCAACTAGAACTTTTATCATTTGTGGCATGCACTTGTTAGGTCTCCTTAATGGCATTGCTTTGATGAAAGTTTAAATAAATTGGCCAAAATGAGAAAAATATGGGAGTATTTGACAGGGACTTCTGATTTCTCTTTTAAAGTATTCAATAACTATCAAGCTCTTTATGGTATTGCAAGTATCATTGCTAAGTTTATGTTCCGAATTTAGAATCGTAAGCTCTTTCAGTGACATTTGTTTTATGGATGCCATGTTGCCTTGACTCTTCATTTTTCTTGTAGTACCAGTGTTTGACTCCCATATCGAACACATTTTCGTACCCATAATGACATATATCCTTATTAGACACACATCCGAGTCTGAATAACATAGTATAATTGTTCTTGATTCAGATGACAAATCTTTTTTCTATAATTGAATGGTACATTTTCTATACTTGAATAGTAGGTAATCTTTTATCAGTTTTGGTACATTTGTGTTGCATTTGATGAAAGTGAATGAGGAACTTTAGAAATTTTGCATGTCAAATATGCTTATTTTCTTGTAGTAATATTAAAGGTGAAGTATCATTGGTGATAGATAGTAATGTGCAGCTGCACTTGGTCAACTTGAATGATGAGGCTGACTTTAATGAATATTATTAGTTTTTCATTCTACTATGAATAATAATAAGAATACTAATTTGTTGATGTGTATGCAATTGTTGTTCCTTAAATTGGTAGAGTGATCTAGATCATTCACATAACTCAAGCAACCGTGCTAGTATGAAGAGTTCTATTGTTGGAAAAAATCAGACATCATCCGCTCATAAGCCAACTGCTTCAAATAATAGACAAGGCCTAAGACGATCTCTCAGCCAAAAAGACTTAAAGTATCACGATGGCTATTCTGTAAGTATTATCTATCTCTTTGAAAAAT